TCACTCTGTGCCTCAGGAACATTCAATAAACTGACCACTGCCTCCCTCCTGAAACCCATGTTTCCCTTGGTTTCCATGACAACACACTCCCAGCTCTCCCTCCTGCCTCTGTTAACTACTCCTCACTGCCCTCAGCTGTGCTTCCTGAGCTCCCCATGTTGGAAGAGCCTTAGGCCTGGCCCTCAGCTGTCTTCCCTTTCCCATCTAGGTGAGCTCCTCCAGACCAGCTCTGCAGCCTGGGCCTCTCCCTTGACCTCCAGACACCCCACATCCCCACCTGGATGGCGATCGTATGTGTGACTCAAGTTCGCCCTGATCAACACGAACTCTCATTCTCCTTCCTTCCTCAATCCACTTCCGCCCCTAGATCCCCATCTGAGTCAACACCGCCGCCATTCCCCCAAACATCTAGGACAAAACCCCAGGACTGTTTTTATCTCTTGCTCTCATGCCAAGTCACACGCCTCTGCGGTCTCTGGGTGGAACACGTCCTCTCCATCTTCACTTATCTGGTTTTCCCTGGTACCGCCCCTGTCCCACTGCCATGTCACTTGCCTGGGCTACTCTGGCAAGCCCCCGTCACTCTTTCACCTGCTTCCACCACGGCCGCTATGCTTTCCACCAGGAGCTACTCATACTCCTGGCCGGCCAGGAGCGGGGGCTGGGGGTGGGGGGTGTCCTCGAGGTCCCACGTGACCCAGCCTCCTCCCCTCCAACGCCCCGCCCCCTACTGCCTTGCTCCCTCTACTCCACTAACCTTCTATCTGTTCCTCAGACTTGCCTGTGCCACCTCTCCCTCATCCCCACCCCCCACCCCGACGACGATCATCGCTCGCTTTGCCTGGGATATCCATTTTCCAGATTTTCCCCAGGCTGGGCCCCTTCCTCATCATTCCGCCTGCAATCAACTAGCATCTCCTCAGGGACGCCTTTGCCGACCACCCCCAGCCCATCCTCCTGTTTTATTTTCTTTGTTGCATCTGCCACATCTGCAAAGAACCACTCATTTATTTGTGTGAGTGTGTCTCCTCCGCCCCTCCTGAAAGACCCCAGGCCTGGTGCCGTGCACGGCACGTAGGCGGGGCTCAAGTGTTACTTAATGAATGAACAAAGACCATGATACTTTCTTGTCAAAGGACTGAGAGATGCGCTGGACCACGTCTCCCTGAGAAAAAGAAACAGGGACCCGAAGGAAAACCGCTCTTTGAGGTTAAGCCTGTGACTTACCCAGGTGAGAATCTTCGGGGTGGCGCCGCTGAATGTGACTTTGTAGGAAAGCTTGGTTCATAAAGGCCTTGTCACAGAAATGGCACTGAAAAGGAGAGAGCAGCAAATCCCAGGGTCAGTCACCAGTGTCCTCCCACCTAAGTTCCATTAAAATTGGGGTCCCTGGGGCGCTTAGGTGGCTCAGTGGGTTAAAGCCTCTGCCTTCGGCTCAGGTCATGATCCCAGGGTCCTGGGATCGAGCCCAGTGTCGGGCTCTCTGCTCAGCGGGGAGCCTGCTTCCCCCTCTCTCTCTGCCTGCCTCTCTGCCTACTTGTGATCTCTGTCAAATGAATAAATAAAATCTTTAAAAAAAATTGGGGTCCCTAAAGCACCACCTCTGGGGAATTTTCTACCCCCACAGGGATATGTAAAAGCAGGACTAAAAGGACAACTGTAAACCAGGGTGTTGTCCCCAAACAGTGAAAACTATCTCTGGGCAGCCACGGTGGCCCAACCTGGTGCTTCCAAGAACCCCGGTTGCAGCTCCCATTAGACAGGTGGTTCCTAGCCGGGCACCAACTTGATCGGGACACTCCAGCCATGCCGGTCTTCTTTCTGTCCTTCAAGCAGGTCAACTTCAGCCTCTGCCTGAATCTGCCCCAGACCTTCCCCGCTGGCTCCTTCTTGACCTTCCCTGAAGCATCTTCCACACAGGGGAGGAATGGCGCGTCCTCAACCAGACCCTCGCGGGCGGTCCTCCTGCCAGTCACCGTCCCATCCCGCTGCCTTATTTTCAACATTGCACATCTCACCGGTTACTATTTCCACATGTACACACTTCACTTGTTTATGGTCTCCTGCCCAATGACTCTGGGTTCCAGAACATCCTATTCCTGACGCCATGGGCTCTTGTCTATCTTACTCATAGCATTATCCCCAGCCCAGCATTAATGAATGACTGAACACATGCTTAGAAATGTTTAGCTTCCTAAATAAATTTTACTGGAAAAAAAAAAAATCAGTGCTGCCAATATCTCCATTTTCCACTTTAACACTGATTCAAATTTTAAGCAAAAACTCAACTTGTTTCATCGTACCTGTATTATTCTGAATTAAAATGTGAATATTAAATGTTTTTATTTCTTAGTATTTCAGAGTCTATCTCTAAAAGGGCTTGCTTTTAACACAGTCATAATAGTATTATTCCACCTTTTAAAATGTGAAAATTAGGGGCACCTGGGTGGCTCAGTGGGTTAAGCCTCTGTCTTTCGCTCTGGTCATGGTCTCGGGACCTTGAGATCAAGCCCCGCATCAGGATCTCTATTCAGTGGGGAGCCTGCTTCTCCCTCTCTTTCTGCCTGCCTCTCTGCTTACTTGTGATCTCTCTCTGTCAAATAAATAAATAAAATCTTTAAAAAAATAAAAATAAAATGTGAAAATTAATTCCCTAATGTCAACACATTAAAAATATTATTTTTCTCCAATATTTCACATATTGCCTTAGAAAAAAAAACGTTACAGTGTTTTGATTTGAATCAGGATCCACATAAGGCCATATCCTGCAATGGCTCATCATGTCTCTCAACTCTCTTTTGATCTAGAAGGTGACCCTCCATCTCTCTTTTTCCTTGCAATTTGCTTGCCAAAGAAACTGAACATGTGTCCTATGGAGTTTCTCCCAGTCTAGATTCTGCAGTTTCATCTCCAATGTGCTATTAACCTATTCTAATTGCACACGGTGTTGCCTTACTCTGAATCAGGAAACCTACATGGCAAGCTCTGATTCTCTTTCCCAGAAAACCCACAGGATGCCCTATTTCCTGGCATCGTGTTTCAGGGAACCTTGAACATATCTTTCCAGCCTTCTCTGCTGCTGATGACTGCTTGAGTTTCCTCACAATACTTTATGGACTGTCCTCCTGACTCAGGGGTCAGTGTGGGCTCTAATGTTGTGCACAACCCTGGAGAAAGGAAAGGATGAAGAAACCTAAAATATGGGGCTTTTAATTTCTGAAAATGGAAAATAGGTATTTTAACTATTTGAATAATACAGAAAAGCCATGAGCTCAGGGTAAGAAGGGGTTCCTACTCCCCAAAAAAGAAGCCTGACATTATGACTGCATCAAGATGAAAAACTTCTGGGGTGCCTGGGTGGCTCAGTCCATTAAGGGTCTCCCTTTGGCTCAGGTTATGATCCCAGGGTTCTGGGATTGAGCTTCACGTTGGAGCTCTCTGTTCAGTGGGGATTCTGATTCTTCCTCTCCCCTGCTCCTTCCCCCCACTCATGCTCTCTCTGCATGCTGTCTTTCTCTCAAGTAAATAAATAAAATCTTTAAAGTAAAAATAAAATTTAAAAATTATGAACTTTCATACGACAAAAACATCAAAACGAAGTTAGAAAACTTTCAGTTTGAACAACTTGAAAGTTGCCATTCCGTACTAACAATAAGTAAAGAGCTGAACAGACTAAAAAATCAACAACTCTTCTTGGACCCATAAGAGAAGAAGACACCGGGCAAACCACCACCTGCAAGCTTGTAGAGACAGACATTGTACTGGAAGTCGTTGCTAATGTAATACAGCAAGAAAAGGAAATAACAAATTAAAAAAAAAAAATACAGCCTAGGAGGGAAGACACAGAATTTCTTTGTTTGCAGATGACACTGATGTATATAGAAAATCCAAAAGAATTGACCAAAGAAAAACCTTAGAACTAATAACAAAGTATACCAAAGTTGTAGGATATAATGTTAATATACTAAAGCCAACTTTCCTATATTCCAGTAATGAAAAATTGGAATTTGAAATTAAAAACACACCACCATTTACATTAGCACCCCCCCAAAATGAGTACTTAGGTATGAATCCAACAAAATATGTACAAGATCTATATGAGGAAAGCTTCAAAGTTCTGAAGAACAAATCAAAGAAGAACTAAATAAATGAATATCCATGTTCATGGATAAGAAGACTCAATATTGTCAATAATTCTCTCTAATTTGATCTTTAGATTCAAAGCAATCCCAATCCAAATCCCAACAAGTGATTTTTGAGTAGCAACAAACTGATTGTAAAGTTTGCTAAAAAAACCCAGAATAGTCAACACAGAATTGAAGGAGAAGGACAAAGTTGAAGGACAGATATCTCAACTTTAAGACTCACTACTTAAAGCAACAATAATCAAGACAGTGTAGTACTAGCTAAAGAACAGACGAACAGATCAATGGAGGAGAAGAGAGAGCCCAGAGACAAACCCATGTGAATATCACCTAATCTTGGACAAAGGAGAGAAAACAATACAATGGTACAAAGATAGCTTCTTCAACAATGGTGCTGGAACAACTGGACATCCACACGCAAAAAAAAAAAAAAAAAAAAGGAACATCAGCACAGACTTCACATCCTTCCCAAAATCTAACTCAAAACGGATCACAAACCTAAATGTAAAATGTGAAACTACAAAACTCCTAAAAAACAACATACGTGAAAACCTAGATGACCTTGGTGATTTTTTTTAATTTTTATTGTTTTTAAAAGATTTTTTATTAATTTATGAGAAAGAGAAAGAGATGGATAAAGAGTGTGTGCAGGAGCAGGGGGAGGGACAGGCAGGCAGAGGGAGAAGCAGGCTCCCTGCTGAGCAGGTTGGTTGGGGGGAGGTACATGGGGAATGAATTGGGTCACATCAGAGGCATATCTTAAACTATGTCTCTCTGACTGCAAAATGCATGCTTTTGCTACCCCCAACATATATCTCTAACTCAAAACACTGAAAAACTGCAACGAGGGTCAGAAATTCACTGGCAGATTCCCAAATCGGCCTGGGGTGCTAAAGCATGGAGAGGAATCTAAGTCTTCCCATTACGAGAACAAAAGTTCTTCTTAGAATGAGTCTAGGTCCTGTTATGATCCACTGGTATTTTTAATTTTTTTTTAAGGATTTTATTTATTTATTTGACAGACAGAGATCACAAGTAGACAGAGAGGCAGGCAAAGAGAGAGGAGGAAGCAGGCTCCATGCCGAGCAGAGAGCCGGATGCAGGGCTCAATCCCAGGACCCTGAGATCATGACCTGAGCCAAAGGCAGAGGTTTAACCTGCTGAGCCACCCAGGCGCCCCAGTATTTCTAAATTTTTAATTAAAAAAAAAATTTGATAGATCATTGGTACGCACTGGCCTTTACCCATGGCCACGAGACTTCCCCAGCTGTCAGTGGTCTCTACTTAAACACAATTTAATGACTGAGGGGAAGGTCCAATAGCTATTTCAACAAAACCAATCGCATTTCTGCAAATTTTATCATAGGCCAAATATCCCCAAACACGGGAACCTGAAGTTAAAATAATTGTAACACCTTAGAACCCAAGGCTAGTTTATGCGTCAACTTTTCTTAGCAGCAATCTTGACTTCCCCTTCCAGAGTCACTGATTCTCACGGCATCAGCACAGCAGCTATATTCAGCTCCCAGGAAAGATGTAAAGATTTGCAGAGATCATGGGCAACCACGGTTCATTACCAAGAGAAATCCACATGCACATGTCAGATGCCATTTCCTCAGACCTCCTCATGCCACACATGCATTATCTCATGGAATTCTCAGAATAGCCCTAATAGGTGTCCCTACCACCAACCTTCTCATTTTCCAGATGAGGAAACGGAGGTCTAGGACTTGCATGGTGGAATACTTTGGATTTAAATCCACGAAGTCTAACTCTAGGACTGTCACCAAACAGGGCTTAACTGCTCAAAGACACCATCAAGAGCCCCCCAAAACAGCAGAGTGTATTTATACTACACTGAGTAGGAAAAAGTGGTCTGGTCTCCTCTACTTTTTCATGGTCACACCTGGGCACGCCATACACCTGACATTGTCATTCAGGGAGTCTGCTGAGTGGCCGAGCAGGCAGGTGTCACTCCATAAAAATGAGCCATTACCTTTATTTATGTATCTCATTCACACTTGAAAATCTTTACTAACAGCTATTGCTATGGTAACTAAAAGAATGAAAAAACCTTCATAAATCTAAAAATGTCTGTATATTATAGGTTTTAACATTTCACAGATTACTGCCAAAGCTAAAATATTTTTTTTTAAGATTCATTTATTTATTTGAGGGAAAAAGAGAGAGAGAGAGCGTGCGTGTGCTCACCCAGGCTAGAGAATCTCAGACTCCCCACCCAGTGCAGAGCCTGATGCAGGGCTCAATTTTAAGATCCCCGAGATCATGATCAGAGCCGAAACCAAGAGTATGGTGCTCAACCAACTGAGCCACTCGCGCCCCAAGCTGAACTATTTTTAACGTCTAAACAGAATCCATTCCATTCATTGTATAATAAATATATTTATTAAAGGCCATATCAACACTATTTATAAATAAATTTATGAAACAAATAGGCAATGAATTGTTATTTGAGGGCTATACCTCAGGGTTGTGTACCCAAGGCTAGCCACTAAGGCTTTCTAATGATATTCTCTCCTAACTGTTCACCTATTTTTTTTTAAGGATTTTATTTATTTATTTGACAGAGAGAGAGAGCAGGTGCACAAGCAGAGGCAGCAGCAGGCAGAGGGAGTGGGAGAAACGGGCTTTCCACTGAGCAGGGACCAAATGCGGAACTCGATCCCAGGACTCTGGGATCATGACCTGAGCCGAAAGCAGCCGCTTAACGACTGAGCCACTCTGGTGTCCCAACTGTTCCCCTATTTTAAGTACACTTCTCCCAAGGCTCCGGTGGGTTAGCCCTAAGCACTATGAACCACACCATTATCTGCGCCTATGGCCAGTCTTCTGCAGTCACTCACACCATTAGTACCTGAACCCACTGAGGCTTTTTTTTTTTTTTTTTTTTAATAAACTCTACTCCTACCATGGAGCTGGAACTCATGACCCCAAGATCAAGAGTCCCACACTCTACCAACTGAACCAGCCAGGCGTCCCATTCACTGAGACCTTTTAACTCATATTTAGCCAAAGTGACTACAGTGTCAGGGAATGAAATCAATCTTGTCAGCCTGTTGCTTACTTTAATATCTTTACCGAAGATATCTTTATCAAACATTGTTGATTAAAAAAAATAAGTACGTTGATTTTTGTTATACTAAAAAATTACAATATTTATTTGAGCTCAATGTCTAACCCATAATAGAGATTAAAGGCAGAAAAGCAAGAGGTTTTACTCTTTTAAATCCTGTTGTTTTAGTAATAAAATATATTTTAAATACTACCCGTTCAATCAAAACACACCGTTGTCTTATATCACTAATATTGTTATAGTAGGCAGTGTTCTTGTTCTTAGGAAATATACACACTGAAATATTCAGGAGTCTGAAACTCACTGTCAAATGGTTAAAAATAATAGTATGTATATAGATACTGAGGAAAGACAGCAAAGGTGGCAAATGTTCATAACCAGAGAATTTGGGTGAGGGGTTTATGAAGTTCCCTGCACTATTCTTACAACCTTTCCGTAAGTTTGAAAATATTTTGAAATCAAACGCCCACAAGTTTCATCGTACGACCTCATCTGGGGCAGACCTCAACAGCAGTTTGTAAAAGGTTTATTTTTCATTCCATCGATTAGAAGAAGGATGCAGTTTCTCAAACCAGCATTTAGATGGCTTCCATAAAGCGCCGTGGACACTGTTTAATTATTAATCCCGTGGTCGTCTACGGAAGGTAATGAACCATGTCACCTGTTGGTTACAATTACTATTTTGCTTAACTATTGGGGAAAAAGCGGGGGCGGGCAGTGATCTAGGAAAGGGCTCTCCACATCCTGGCCGGTGGGACCGAGGGATTTTTTACTGGATTATGAATTGGAATCACAACGTGTAGTCCCACCTGGTAATAGCTGGCTTTGGCCTCGATCATCAGCTGCTGGGTCGAGATCATCTTTTTCCTGCGTTTACACTCTTCCTTGAGCAGCTTCATCTCCCCAGCCTGCTTGGCGAGGAGCTTCTGGCTCTGCTCGCTCTCGGCCACGCTCAGGCGCAGGCGCTCCTCCAGGCCGCGCAGCTGCGACGCGAGGAAGTCCTGGGAGTGCAGCAGGTACTCGATGGTGAGCTGCGCCAGGCGGATGAGCTTCAGCAGCACCGGGTCCACCCCCGACTGGCAGTGCGGGCACTTCTCGTCCTCCAGCTTGCAGAAGGTGATGTTCATGATGTTCTCCTGCAGCGTCAGCACGTCCACCGCCCCCGCCACCTTGTCCACGTCGATGGCGCTCAGCCGCCGCCAGTCCACGCTCTCCAGCCGCGGCCGGAACTGGAAGAAGGGCAGGGGGCCCGACGCCGCGCTGTAGGGGCCACTGGCCATCGCGGAGCGCGCGCCCGAGGCAGCTGCGGGGGCGTCGGGGCCCTCCAGGCCGCCGCTGGCCAGCGGATAGTAGACGTGCTTCTGGAAGGGCTGTGGGAAGGAGACAGCGTGGCGGTGGTGGGGGAGCTGGGAGTCCCGGGAGCCGCGGCCCCCGCCAGCCCCACATGCCCAGGCAGCCCGATCTCACCGCTCTTACCATGCTTGGAAGCAAATCCGCCGCCTCCGCCGGCATCCGAGGAGGGGGCGGTTCCGTCTACCCGGCCCGGGCCGCCTCCCGGGCCGCCGCCGCCCCACCCCTCGGGAGCCGGAGAGGGCCGGGTCTCCCGCGGCGGCGGCGGCGGCCTAAGGTCCGGGCGTCCAGGCCGTTGCTATGGCAGCGCCCCTGCCGGGACCTGAAGCTAAGGGCGCGCCTGCCGGGGAGCCCTGCGGGACCAGAAAAGACCTCGTGGGCGAGCGCGTCCACCCGGAGAGGGGATCTCCTGGGCGCTGGCTCCGTGGGCCACTCCCCTCCCTGGCTCTGGGGCTGACACTCCCCAGGTCCTATGGAGTAGACAGCCACATCCCCCCCCACCCCCCACCCCCACCCCCGGCACTTTCGGGCTCAGCTGCCAGCCTCCAGTTATTTTACTCCCGCACTCGCCCTTGGTTTTGAGATTAGAAATGCTGTTCATCCTCATCTTTTACACACAACTTAACGTTAAGCAACAAAACTGTAAAATGAAATGGGATGGAGGGGAACTGGCTGCAAAAGAGCAGAAAGACACCTTTGCGGTGTAACAGGAATATTCTGTACTTTCGTTGTGCTGTCTGTTGATTACCTGGTACACACATTTATCAAAACTTATCGAATTGGACATTGACAATGAAGGGTGCATTTGTTTATTATACCGCAATGAAATAGTTTAAAAAATTAAATTAGTAGTTCATTCTATTTGATGGCACCTTTTCTCAATTCCTTATACCCAAGACCCTTTTTAAAAATGGAGTCTTTCTTCCTCTATGAGTTACCTACCTAAATATAAGATACTGATAGAAGTACAAATGAAGGAATTTCCCCAGATAGTAATACTTCACTTGTCTTTCCAAATGGATACACTCTCAAAATGTTAAGGTTAAAAAAAAAAATTATATGGAAGGGAACATTACCCATCAGCTTTGTACCATCAAGTTTTACCTTAAGAACTTGTGTGGCAGCTGCATTCTGTTATATGGAGAGGCTAAAATATCTCTAGCAGCAACTTGCAGGCCACAGGCCTTTCATTCTTGGGGTCCTTTGGGTGCTGCCCGTGGCTACCACAGGGATCAATGAGCTGAGGAAAAGCCACACATTCCTCAATCCACCGGGGAGTCCCTGCTTGGAACAACCATCAGGAAATTTTTTTTCTTTCCTAACAGCCAGATATGTGAATAGAAGAAAAGAAAATACAATTCAGGGTAACTTAATGCAAAGTTGTAATGTCAAATATTTTTAGCACTTTCCAGATACTGCGAACTAGAAATAAATTCACATAAAAGCATCCAGGGAAGAGAGAACACACTTCATATGACTTCACATAAACTGTACATGCAGATAACTTTTAAGGGGTCTTTGGGGGAAAAAGAACTATTAACGGTTCACTGCAGCTGGCATAAAAGACTTACAGACCCAGGTTCAAAGTTTGAGTCTTCCATTTACTTGCTGCTTGACCTAAAACAAGTTATGTCAGCCCCGGGCCTCAGTTTCCCAACCTGTGTAAGGGACGTCAGGATACCGACCTGGCAGGTCTGTGGGCTGTGGGCTCCATCCACCGGGCCACAGGATCAGCGGGAACAAGGGCTGTGATTTCTCTTGCTCACCGTTATGTCCTCAGCACCTGGCAAAGTTCAGGCACAGAGAGGGTTGAGAATTTGCCAAATGGACACGTGGATAAGGAATAATTGAATGAATTCGGCGTTTTGTTAAGTAAATGTCGGATCCCGGCCCGTATCCCTCCTATTTTCTCTGCCTCTGGCCTGTTAGAGTCACCCATGCTCTGGACCCAGGCCCTCGGAGCTGAACGTGGGGGGCTCTCTGCGCGCCCCCACTGCGGTCGGAGTAGGAGGCGGCGCGCGGGGCCGGAGCGCCCATCTACGTTCGCTGCCGCCACTCTGGGCGCAGAGAGAGCCGCTCGGGGGGCCACCCTTGCCCCTGGGCTGAATCACGGCCCCAAGATGGCCGGAACAGGAAAGAAGGGGACACGCTTTCCCGTTCCCTCCGCCCCTCCTGCGGGCCTGGGCGGCAGCCCCGCGCAGCGCCTCCAGTCCCGGGCGCACGGCGGGTGGCCCGTGGAACCCGCAAAGACAAAGGCCAGCTTACACGGGCTCCGGGGAGGCCCCGGCACTGTCCGGGGGAGAAGGGAAACGGGGAGTGGGGGGCTGCCGCAGCCATGCCAGCGGGGTCTGCAGTGCCTGGGCTCGCGATGGGGGGAAGTGGGAGGAGGCCCTGGCTACGCCCGCACAGAGATGCCGGGTCGGCCGCGGGCTCCCAAGGGCTCCAGGCGCATCCCGGGCCTTGGCTCACCCCAGCTGCGCGCTCCTTGGCGGGCGCCGGGCGCTGCAGGCGGACGGGGGCGACGCTGGGGACCCAGACCCCAGAAGCGCTGCGGGCGCAGGCGGGGCTCACGGAGGCCGAGGAGCAGCCGAGCGGGAAGCGGCGGGCCGGCTCCTTCTTCCAGGGCGCAGAAGGAAGCCTGTCTGGTTTGGGCAAGTCGTGGCGCGGCGGGCCTGGCGCCTTTCGGGCCCTCCCAGACTCCCGGCCGCGGGCTCCTCGGAATCCCCCACCCCCCTCCCGCCCCCCTCCCCTGGACGATCTCCCTCCGGTCTCTCCTCTCCGCGTCCCAGTTCGTCTGGCAGCTGGGCGGGACCGTGCGCGTCTAGACCGCAGCGCTAAAATGCGCTCCGCCAATCCCGCGGTTGGTGCAGACACGTGGTGCCGGGGCGCGCTCTGTTGCTGGCGGGGGTGTTCTCCCCGGGAAGGCTTTTCAAAGAGAAACCAGATTCAGTCCAACCCTGCGGCTGGCCTGGCCCTCGACTAGCTAATTTACTATGCGTGCTTTATGTGAATTCTCTCTCAAGAAGAGATGCATTTTAATCGCAGAAGTCTTGCAGATGCAAGGAGCCTTGAAGAGGCTTTCTGCTGCAGCTCTGCATTTGAGTGACGTGGAAAACGGGGTTAGGGATTCTGCCTGCAAGCACGCAAGGATGAATCCCACGTAGGTTTCCGCGTCCCCTTCGGTTACGTCCGTTTCAGGACGCAAAGCACGATTCTCTGTTGGTAGAAAGTTTGACAGACGTGGGGAGAGGTGATCCGTGGGACGAGTAGTGTGACTATATATATATATTAAAGACTTTATTTATTTATTTGACACAGAGAGAGAGACAGCAAGAGAGGGAACGAAAGCAGGGGGAGTGGGAGAGAGAGAAGCAGGCCTCCCGCTGAATAGGGAGCTCAATCTGGGTTCGGTCCCAGCACCCTGGGATCATGACTTGAGCCGAGGGCAGACACTTAACGACTGAGCCACCCAGGGGCCCCAACTATATTTTTAACCTAAAATTGGAACACTTGGTCTGAGAATTGGGCAAAATTCAGTATTTTAAAATAAGGAGTAACCCAGAAAGTATGCGTGTATCATTTTAACAACCATGAGATTGGCCCAGATTGAGGAATTTGAGTGCCTTGAGTACAAAATATTAGTGTCTGCTGTAGCAAAAATTGCTTTTCACTTAGAAAGGGGTAACTAGGGCGCCTGGGTGGCTCAGTGGGTTAAGCCGCTGCCTTCGGCTCAGGTCATGATCTCAGGGTCCTGGGATCGAGTCCCGCATCGGGATCTCTGCTCAGCAGGGAGCCTGCTTCCTCCTCTCTCTCTGCCTGCCTCTCTGCCTACTTGTGATCTCTCTCTGTCAAATAAATAAATAAAATCTTAAAAAAAAAAAAAAGGGGGGTAACTATAGCATCTTTGCTGGATGGTAACATGTTAACCTAAAATGCCTTTCCTTGTGCTTCTCCCTCACCCAATCAACATTGTCCCATACTTTATTTAGCACAAAGCTTCAAACATCATAATGCTTTAATAAGGATTTATGTGAATTTCTTTCTTTAGTTTTTACTTGAAATCATCAGGCCTAGGAGAGCCTTGGTAAGATTTTTAGACTTGTTGAATTTTAAAATGCTTAAATTTGAAAGTGAATCCAAGATCCCATAAAAATCCTCTAAGGTAAAATGGGTAAATATCTCCAGGTAGAATTTTCCGGCATTATAAAGTAGAAAGGCCATTGCTTTGCGAAGTCTATACTCTGGAAACCTTTGTGGTATGTGAGTGAGTGAGTGAGTGAGTGTGAGTGTGTGTGTGCAGGATGATGTACAACATTATTTGATGATACACCATTTGAGTTACTTGTATCCTCCATTTCGCATTGTCAGTACATTACCCGGTGTATGCAGAGTTGGAAGAAATGAACAGGTTGACTTCGGCCTGGCACAGCAGCAATCATACATTCTTGATCCTTTCAAACCTCTTATACCAATTAGCACAGCCCAGCAGGGAGTGGCTGTGATAATTAAATAATTCAATTTTATGAAACTATTTAGGGGCATCAGGCTTTGGCTCAGGTCCTGATGTCAGAGTCCTGGGATGGAGTCCTGCTTCAAGCTCCCTGCTCAGCAGGGAGTCTGTTTCTCCCTTTCCCTCTGCCCGCCACTCCCCCTGCCACTCCCCCTGCTTGTGTTCTGTCTCACTCCCTCTCTCTGTCAAATAAATAAATAAAATCTAAAAAAAAAAAAAAAGAGAGAGAGAAAAAGAAAGGAAAGAAAAGAAAGTCATAAGGAAGGAAAAATACATTTACAGTACTGTCCTGTACTTATTTTTTTTAAAAATCAGTGTATAAATGGACCTGCACAGTTCAAACCTGTGTTGTTCAATGGTTAACTCTGCTCCGTCCAACAACAGAAGAATACATGTTCTTCTCAAACTCGCATGGAACATTCAGGAAGATAGACCACATTCTGGGCCATCAAACACACCTTAACAAATGTAAAAGAATAGAAAGCATACAAAATATGTCCTCAGATAACAGAATTAAATTAGAAATCAATAGCACAAAGATAGCTGGAAAATTTCAAGATATTTGGAGATGAAACAACACAGTCCTATATAGTGCATGGCTCAAAGAAGAAATCTCAAGAGAAAAAATTAATTTGGAACTAAATAAAAACAGAACTTATCAACATTTGTGAGATGCAGTGCTAGCAGGGCTTAGAGAGAAATTTGTTGATTAGAAGCAAGTTGCTTTGACTCACACCCAAGGGGGCAAGCACTCAGGTTTGCCTTTTGAAGAGAGGAACATCGAAGATTTCCGAGTCTGTATTTTGAAACCACCACAGCAACCATAACTCCCTTTGGTGGTTCCTGGTGGCCCAAGAAGTGAAATGGCCTGGTGGCAATTTCAACTTACAATTCAACTGAAACATTAATGTGTATAAGTAACTCGGATCTGGAAGATAGGCTAAAAACAAATACAAGGGGCGCCTGGAGGGTTCAGTGGGTTAAAGCCTCTGCCTTCGGCTCAGGTGATGATCCCAGGGTCCTGGGATCGAGCCTCGAATCGGGCTCTCTGCTTTCTGCTCCCACCACATTCTCTGCCTAACTCTCTATTTGCGATCTCTGTCAAATAAATAAATAAAATCTTTAAAAAAAATAAAAACAAAAACAAAACCCCAAGCCTAACCGTCAAGGAACGTGGCTCTGTCCTGGCCTTTGTGGTAGGATGGAAGGGATCATACAAATGAAATAAGGACTTATAGTTTCCTGACATGCCACCCTTTGGAGCCACATGATTCATCTATCACAACTGGATATTCACAAGGGTTGAGCTACTTCTACTGGAACCTGATTACCCTGGCCACCATACTTCCTGTGAGGATGACCAAGCTCCGTTTACCTCTGGTGGTTAGCACTACTTCGTGGGCACATACATCTTGAGCTCCCCCCACCCCTGAGATCTGGGAGTGACAGCTCTCGCACCCAGCATTCCGAGTCTAGAGAAGGCTTTTTGTACAGAGCTGTCACTTCTCATCTTCTCATGAGAGCCGGGTACAGAATTAGTTCACCACCCCTTCACGCATCCTTCCTGCTCTGCTGAAGCTGGGAAGTGAAAAACCAGGCTTCCCCGACTCCTTTCCAGCTCATATTCTAGAAGCAAATTGTTTTCTGCCAATTAAACACATTCTTGAATGATATGAAAGAGAGATGTGAGACAGAAGCAATTCTCCTGCTGCTGTCTTTGCTGGCAAGCAAGGCCATGTAGATCAGAGCATTAATAGGTAAAGGCAGCCACTGACCTAAGCGTGTCTAATCACAACTTTCAGCACTGCAAAAGGGTGGTTGAGACAGTGGTGGCTTTTTTTCTTATCAGAGGATCAAACTCCAGAACTTCACGACTATGGTGCTGCTCCCCTCCATACCCTCCCCCGTCTCTTTCAGTGATTTTGCAAGCATCTAGTTGTGTGCAATTATTTTATTACTTAAACTATCCAAAGTGGCTTCACCTTCCTGCCATAAAGCCATACTGATACCCCTTAATCTATACTTTTCGTTACTAAAATGAGAGTCTATACCAAAAATGTGGTGAAGAAGTGCCTAGACTCGGTGAGCATCATCTATCCTACCTTTTATTCCCTCTTCCTCAAGTGTCTGAATTCCTTCTTTTATACTTATTAAGGGATTTCTGACTTTTGGGCTATAATTTGTTGTGAGACAAAGTTCAGTGCATGTTTACCTTGGACAAGCTTTCCCCAGCTGGTTACACTCTGAATACATTGTCTCTGGGAGGTACCCATATTTGTACATCCCCCCCCCCCCCCCGATAGTCTATAGGGACCACGCTCCTGACCTAGCAACCTCAAAGTCTGTTCCCACATTCTTCCAATTTGGGGGGATATAAGTTAGCAAATTTCTACAACTCCTTCTAGGCTCCTAACTCTAATGTCCACATAATCAGGATTGCCTCCCCCTCCCCCTACCAAGGCATAGCTACTTGCTGTTGCAACAGTGTGACTGGGCTTCTGAAGGAAGTTATTAGTTCTCACATGCAAAGGTGGCAATGTCTCCTATCCTCCGTCAAAGAAAGCAGGGTGAGGAATTATTTCAGGATGGTTTGAGAACTTCAGTTCCTTTATGTCAGTTCCTCTCAAACTCTCATCAGTGTCCCCTGGAGGACATGCCAAACCCCAGACAGCTGTGCAAGCCCCTAGAGTCTCTGATTTAGTAGGTCTGGGGTAGGGCTAGGAAATTTGCATTTCTTTTAAAGTTTTATTTTTATTTCTTTGAGCAAGAGCGAGAGAGATCCCACAGGAAGAGGGAGAAGCAGACGCCCCGCTGAGCAGAGCCCAATGTGCAGCTCAATCCCAGGACAGAGAGATTATGATCTGAGCCAAAGGCAGATGCTTGACGGACAGAGCCACCCAGGTGTACCGAAAATTTGCATTTCTAACAAGTTCCCACAGGATGCCAATGTCCTTGGTCTGGGGACCCGTGTGTCTCTGAGCTGTACTGCGTTCAGTCTTACAGATCCTCTTAAATGTTGCCTTTTCTGCTTGCCAGGATGCACTGCCTTCGGATCACTTCTCCAACCTCCATATGAAAGACTTAGAAAGACTTGCGAACCCAACTCTCAAAATCAGTTTCTGTGTTTGGTTTGTACATCCTCAGTCTCACAGCTTTAGATTGGAATCCCTTTTAATTTTATTGTTGTTGTTTGTTTGTCAAAGACAGAAAAAACTGGACTATCACCAAGGTGATAGTCTCCTTCTCTTGTTTTAAGTTAGACGTTGAGGGGAGAAAACAGCCATCATGCCTCGTTGTTCGCCATCCTTCATCATTTAAATTGGCCCGTGCAACAACTACTAGGCTCCCAGAGCCCCAGTCATAGTGAAAGAACAGTGCCTGTGAATATTAATGGAATCTCACATTCTTTTGTTTCCTATTAGTCAAGTAACTCATTCCAAACACCCCACATTTCCCCAAGGATGTCCATTTTCTGCCACCAATTTCCATAATAATTAAGGTTCTTTGCTTGTCAATAACAGAAACCGATTCTGCTAACGTAAAGGGGTTGGGTGACTGGCGGGATAGTGGATAGCTCACATGACCAAAGGAGAAATCAACCAGGCTTCACGAAAGACAGTAACCAGGTAAGCTCCAAAGTTTCCTAGAACTCAGGTCACTCCACTGCTACAGGATCATTGATCCCCTTCTTCCTCCAGCACTTTGGAATTCCACTCCAGATTGCGATTCCTGTGAGAGGGCGTGAGATGGACCTAGTGTGGGTCATGTATGTGATGTGCTCTGTGGTGGTGGCAGCAGGAGGCACTGTGATCGTGATACAGTCAGTAGTTCAGTACCCAGCACAACTCTGGGAAATGGGAGGGAAACTTCCCGAAAGGAAGATATTCCAAGCAGAAGGTTAACATACCTAATACAGGTGGGCAGGCATGTTGCTTTCCTTTCCCATCCGCCATCTGCGGGGGAAGCGCCGCCAAGATGCAGGTTTTCGTGAAAACCCTTATGGAGAAGACCATCCCTCTCGAGGTTGAACCCTGGGATACAATAGGAAATGTAAAGGCCAACATTCAGGATAAGGAAGGAATTCCTCCTGATCAAGAGAGACTGATCTTTGCTGGCAAACAGCTGGAGGATGGATGTACGTGGTCTCACGACAACATTCGTGTGTTGAGACTTAGTAGTGGTGCTAAGAAAAGAAAGAAGGTGCCAAGAAAGAAGAAGTCTTATACCACGCCCACGAAGAATAAGCATAAGAGAAAGAAGGTTATACTGTCCCGAAATACTATAATGTGGATAAGAAAGGCAAAATCAGTTGCCTTCATCGGGAGTGCCCTTTAGATGGGTGTGATGCTAGAGCTTTTATGGCTGGCCACTCCCACAGACATTGTTGTGGCAAATGCTGTCTGAGCTACTGCTTCAACAAGCCAGAAGACAAGTAATTGTGTATGGGTTAGTAATAAAAGACATGAACTAACATTAAAAAAATAAAAACGTCTAATATGGACATTGTCAACTCTACCCTTCAACACCTAGCTCTAGGACCTTTCTTCCAGGAAAGGTATCCTGATGCTTTTCTTCAAAATATTCTCTCTCCCTAAACTGGAGAGTCAAGGTTTGAAGATGCAGGAATCACAGAACAAAGGATAACACCTTTATATTCCTTTGAATAATTTGGATTTTTGTCTCTCAGGGAGATACGTCCTTTTCACCAGATACTAGGATCCTAACCAGCTCAAGACAGGACAGTCACTGCTGCTTAGAAAAAGATAGAAGGGTCACCTGGGTGGCTCGGTTGGTTGAGTGTCTGACTCTTGGTTTTGGCTCTGGTCCTGATCTCAGGGTTTGAGTTTGAGCCCCATGCCAAGCCCTGTGTTGGGCTCCCCGAGGAGTCTGCTCGAGATTCTTTTTTTTTTTTTTTTAAAGATTTTATTTATTTATTTGACAGAGATCACAAGTAGGCAGAGAAGCAGGCAGAGAGAGAGGAGGAAGCAGGCTCCCTGCCGAGCAGAGAGCCTGATTCGGGGCTCGATCCCAGGACCCTGGGATCATGACCTGAGCTGAAGGCAGAGGCTCTAACCCACTGAGTCACCCAGGCACCCTGTGCTCGAGATTCTTTAACTCTTTCCCCTACCTCACCTTCCCCTCTTTCTAAATAAATAAATAAAATCTTTAAAAAAAAATAAAAGATAGAAAAAATTCATAGGAATTTTCCCATTCTTCTAGGGATATAAGCTATTGCTTGGTGTTTCCACCTTTCTTGTTCTCCTGCCTTCTAATTTTACTTTCACCTGGAAGAGTAAGGGGAGACAGGGTTCAGAGCTGGCTTTGTTCCTTGGCCTGTTCCTTGTGAAAGCCAGTCCTTCTCTCTCTCAAGGACACATCAAGTCGTTATTCCAAAGGGTAAGAAGACTAACAGGAACCAATGCACAGACGAGAAGTCCTGGAGTGTTAGGCAACCAGAAATCATATGCGTTGGCTTTCACCATATTACACTGAAGTATCCAAACAATCCCCAAAATATCGCTATTTATGATAGAAAAGTCTGTTGTTTATGTTTTACATCAGTTTTATGTTTGGGGCGCTTGGGTGGCTCGGTGGGTTAAGCCTCTGCCTTCGGCTCAGGTCATGATCTCAGGGTCGTGGGATTGAGCCCTGCATCTGGTTCTCTGCCCCGCAGGGAGTCTGCTTCCCCCTCTCTCTCTGCCTACTTGTGAACTCTGTCTGTCAAATAAATAAATAAAGTCTCTAGGGGGAAAAAAGTTGTATGTTTGCTGTGGTCTCCTTATGGGACCCAGACTGAAGAAGCGGCTCCTTTCTGGGATGTGCTTTTCTTTTGGCAAAATAGCCAAGTCACATATTGGTTCATTAAGTCTCTGAGAGAGAATGAGATACCGAAAGTGGCAAACTGGGCAATATGGATGAAGGGTGTATGAGGATATTTTGTGCTATCTTTGAAACTGCTTAGGATATAGGCTGCCCCAATATCCAAAAATAGGGCATTCCTATAAAATCCTCTGTAAGCCGAAATGATGGAAAGCCAAGAAACAATTACATTAATTTATATGGAAAATGTTTTGAGTACTCCCAGACCCCCAAACTTACCTCTCTTAGGCTTTTCTGATACCTTAGAATGCGTGTTGCACAAAACAACTTGAGATAAAACGCCAATGCTCAGAGACACGTTGCAACGCCTGTGGTTTGTGGCTGCAACGCTGCCTGCCACTCCCCCCGCCACTCCCCCTGCTTGTGTTCTGTCTCACCCCCTCTCTCTGTCAAATAAATAAATAAAATCTAGGTTTTACTTCTCCCGTGCAAAGGGAGAGAGGTAACCATAAAGCCAATCATCGTGTGAAGTTTCTCTTCCCTCCTTCTGCCATGGTGGTAAATTGCATCCAGGAAACGATAGTTAATAAGTAAGTGAGTCATGTTTCAGGTCCATATCTTTGGCCTCTTGGAATCAAACTGTGTCCTAAGTAGCTTCTGTTGCCAACAAATGTATCTCATTCTTCTTGCTGCAAACAAGATATTTGGGCTCTGTACTGTAAGAAATGCCACTGAGTTGGAAGAAGTATCTTGCCACGTTTTTTTAGGTGTGCATTCTAAAGCAGGCATCTCCTGTCTGATTCTTCTGCTGTGTGGTATCCCTCCCACTGACTGAGTTGGAGACTCACCATGCTCCTACATTTTGCTAAGGTTTTAACTAGCTTTTCTGTTTCTTATTTGTTGTGGTGATGGTGGTGACCTTGGGCGATTCCCAAGAAGGAAAGGAGATACTGTCTGGACACTACCATCTTCAAAGTAGAAGTTTTGATAAATATCAATTACCAAGTTAAAGCAGTTTGCTTCCATGTTTTGCTGAAATTATTTTTTCCTTGAAACATGAACAATAGCTATATTTTATTTAGGGATTGATTATATTAGAATGATTTTTCATCCACCTGTTAACTTGATATATTTCATTGAAAGATGTTCTGATGTTGATCTATCCTTGTATCCCTGGATCCCATCTTCTTGGTTACCTTTCATTTTTAGCTGCATGTATTTGGTTTGGAAATATTCCACTTAAGACTGCTTCATCCAGGGGCACCTGGGTGGCTCAGTGGGCTAAGCCTCTGCCTTTAGCTCAGGTCATGATCTCAGAGTCCTGGGATCAAACCCCACATTGAGCCCCACATTGGGCTCTCTGCTCAGCAGGGAGCCTGCTTCCTCCTCTCTCTCTGCCTGCCTCTCTGCCTACTTGTGCTCTCTCTCTCTGTCAAGTAAATAAATAAAATCTTTAAAAAAAAGTGCTTTATCCATCCTCATAATTTACTTGATGATTTTTTTCTTTCCAATTTTAGCACCAAGCCTCTTAAAATGAGTCAGAGAGATTTTCGTCTTTTAAAAAATACTCTGAAATACTTTGTGTAAAGCAGGAATTACAGTCTGTGGGGGCCAGTGGTTTTTTTTTAGAAAGAGACCTATAATTACTAATTTACTATCTTCAATAGCTTACTCAGTCATTCTATTTTTCTTTTCATCTCTATGTTCAAATTTGGTGGCATAAAGACATTCAGTTCTTATCTTAAAAATCAAAACATTTACACCATATTTGTAGTTATGTGCTTTTATTTATTTTTTTAAGATTTTATTTATTTATTTGACAAACAGAGATCACAAGTAGGCAGAAAGGCAGGCAGAGAGAGAGAGGGAGAAGGAGGCTTCCTGCTGAGCAGAGCCCGACATGGGGCTTGATCCCAGGACCCTGGGATCATGACCTGAACTGAAGGCAGAGGCTTTAACCCACTGAGCCACGCAGGCGCCCCATGTGCTTTTATTTTTAAATTAAGTTTAATTTATTTAAAGAGAGAGTGAGCATGGATGGGGAGGGGCAGAGGGAGAAGGAGAGAGAATCTCAAGGAGACTTGGCGCTCAGCACGAAGCCCACCCCGGGCTTGATCTCATGGCCCTGAGATCATGACCTGAGCCAAAATCAAAAGTCAGCCACTCAACTGACTGAGGCCCCCAGGCACTCCAGTGTGTGCTCCTTTTAAATTCTAGTGTGTCTTTTCTCGTTTTTCTTTTGTGGGTTGTTTTTGTTTGTTTGTTTGTTTTTTGTTTTTTTGGTTTTTGTAAGCTTGCTCCATTTTTGTCTGTTTTGTAACTTTTGTCAGTAATGACCTTTTTGGTCTAGATCCCTCATATTTCTTTGCTACTCCCAATATAGTAATTTCTGCTCATTTTTTTAATTATTTCTTTCCTTCTGTTTATTTATTTGTCTTATAGTGTTTTAGCATCCTGAGCTGAATACATCATTCATTTCACTTGTTTTAGCAGCATTCCACAAATTATGATAATGTAGCGTTTTCATTATCATCTTGCTTTGGGTAATTTGGAACTTTCCCAAGACTAATTTAGAGATAGTTTTTTGTTGTTGTTGTTGTTGTTGTTATTCTGTTTATTAGTCTGTTTATTGTGGACTTTCATTTAACTACACTAAGTCAGGGACATGAAACATATGATAATGATTCTCAGGAATTTGTACTTTCTTTGTGAACTAGGATTTGGTAGATTTTTAGAAGTATTTTATGAGTATTTGAAAAAAAATGTCCTATTTCGTAGGCAGAGTATCCTCTCTCTCTTCATATAGAGCTGTTAGATTAAGAATTAGATAAAGCTCATTAAATTTTTGCTTGCATTTACTAAGATTTCCTAGGAGTTTCCACTCCCTACTAAGATTTTTTATGTGCTTTGTGTAAGAGTTTCTGATGGTGATATGTTTTGAAATGTCGTCTACTATTAATTCTCTCACTGTGTTCTAGAGGTTGTTCAATCTAGTAGGTTTTGAGTGTGTGTGTGTGTGTATTTGGTATTTCCTGGTTTTTTTTTTTTTTCAAATTTCAGGGGCTAATCTTTTTTTTTCTTTTATTTCTAAGAGTTTTATTAGTTGTTGTGATGTGTTAAATAATTCCCTTCACCCCAAAATTCAAGTCTGAATTTTGAGAGCCTCAGAATGTGACTTTATTTGGAAATAGGGCCTTTGCAGATGTAATTGGTTAAGAAGAGGAGAGAACACATAGAAGAATGCCACATAAAGATGGAAGAAGAGATTAGAGCGGTGTACTACAGGCTAAAGGAATGCCAAGGTTTGTTAGGGGCCACCAGAAAGGAGGGAAAAGCAAGGAAGGTTTCCTTTCTAAAGACTTCAGAGAGAGTATGGCCCTGTCAACTGCTTGACTTTGGACTTCTGATTTCCAGAACTACAAGAAAATAAATTTCTGTTGCTTTTAAATAATACACTCTGTTGCGATTTATTATGGCAGCCCTAAGAAATTGATACAATTATTTACAACTACCCATTATCATTTTGTTTATGCCTATTTTGTTCTGTACTTCCTTTCTTGTGTTTATGGATGTATTATATTGGATGTATTGTACGGGTGTTCTTATATTTATGTCTATAAAGCATCCTTAGTCTATAAAGTTGATTTCTTCTTATGTGAGCTTAGGTTCTGTTGTTGATTTGTTGCCTGTCTTTCTTAGCATTACAGTTCTTTTTTTTTTTTTTTTAAGATTTTATTTATTTACTTGAGAAAGAGTGTACAGCAGGTGGGGAGGTGCAGAGGGAGAGAGAGAAGCAGACTCCCCACTGAGCAGGGAGCCCGATGTGGGGCTTGATCCCAGGACCCTGAGATCGTGACCTGAGCCAAAGGCAGCTGCTTAACCGACTGAGCCCCCCAACTGCTCCTGTAACATCACAGTTCTTGATATGTTTTGAACTTTTATTTTGCAGTTCCATTTTGAGAGGTGAGGGAAGTTTTTGTTTATCTGCTTTCTTGTTTTTCCATTTTTCTTTTTTTCTGTACTCACCCTCTCTTCTCTTCTCATCGTTGGTTCCAGTCTGATGTTGCAGAGCCCATCAGGAGCAGCTAGATTCCTCTCCCGGGTTTCTACAATTCCATGTAAGCAAGCAATCATAACAGAGCTGCTGGTGGTGGTGTCAGCGCCAGGGAGAATGGGGAGGCTGTGTCTTTGGTCCCTTCCTAGATCTAAAACATGGGCTAGTATTACCATGGCTTCTGCTTACCTGTGACTTTGTGGGTTCTTCCCCCACTACTTTTAGTCCAGGGAAATGTTTATCATGGCTTAGGCTCTAGCTAAGACCTTTTGTTTGCTTGTTTTCTCATTTTAGTTTCCATACCACTGCTCCAAATTTGAAATAGAGGCTCAACGAGGGGACCTTTTGTGTCTTCTTGCCAGTTGGCCTTTCCAGAGCCTAGAGAGCTATCAAAAATATTTTAGGGGTGCCTGGGTGGCTCAGATGGTTAAGCGTCTGCCTTCAGTTTAAGTCATGATCTCAGGGTCCTGGGATCAAGCCCCGCACCAGGCTCCCTGCTCAGTGCAGAGCTTGCTTTTCCCTCTCCCTCTGCTATTCCCTCCACTTGTGCTCTCTGGCTCTATCTCTCTGTCAAATAAATAAATAAAATCTTAAAAAATATATATTTTAGGCTACACTATTTCATATTGCAATTGAGTAGAAATTAACCAAATGAATGTAACCTGGTTACTTACCTGGTCCTACCCCCATCTGTCCCATCTATTATCCTCCACCATACATGCCAGATTTGTTTGCTTCTCTCCATCTCTATTTCCGCCGTTCCCACCATACTTCAAGCCCCGATCACTTTACATCCGGAATGCTGCCTAAATCCCATCATGTCAGCCCTTTGATATTTCATTGTTCAGTAGAATAAAAGCAAGCCTCCCTTAAAGTGGCCTAGACAGCACTCTATGATCTAGTTCTCATCCTCCTCCTGACATCATGTCATCCTGCAGTCCCTCAAGTTTATCACATTTCAACGTGTTATTCCTAAAACACACTAGGAATGTTTCCAATTCAGAGCCTTTGTATTTTCTAGTTCCTCTGTCAGGCTACTAAACTGGCTGGCTGCTTTTCCTAAATCTGGCCTCATTCGTTGTCCTCCCCTGACCCCCACCCATCAACAGTCTTATTGGCTCTGCCTCCAGTATATTTTCCAAATCCTGCCACTTCTTTCCATCTTCACCATTACCATCTTGGGCATAAAACCTTCTAACTGGTTAAGGCTTATTGACTATCAGGGTGCCCCAACAAACTCCCCAGTGCCTCTGAAGTTACATACAGTCATGTCACTAATTATGGCCAATGGAAATGTAAATGACATCTGTCACTTTTGGATTCAAGCTCTATTTTTCTTTCCATGCCTGGGCAACCACAGGACATTGGCTATGTTTTTACATTATTCACTACTTGTAGGGGGCTGTGCAAGAGTTGCCTTGTAGGGAGGGTCACGGTAACCGTGTTGGAATTTGTGTGCCTTGATTGTGTCCCTGAAATTTTGGTAAGTTGTATTTTCATTTTTATGCTGTTCTAGTATTTCCTCATTTCCCTCAAGACTTCCCTTTTGACCCATGGGTTACTTAGAAGTGTGTTATTCCCAAGTATTTGGATGTTTTTCCTCTTACCTTTCTGTTACTGATTTCCAGGTTCATTGTAACATGGTCAGAGAATATACTTTATATAATTTAAATTCTTTTATAATTACAAATATTTTAAATTGGTTAAGGATTGTTCTATGATGTAGAATATGGTTTATCTTGGTGAATGTTCCATGTGCACCAAAAGAGAATGTGTATTGGGTAGAGTGTTCTATAAATCAATTAGATTCAGTTGGCTGATGAACAATTCTTCTATTGATTTTCCTTGCTGATTTTCTGTCTACTCATTCTAGTTATTACTGAGAGAGGAATGTTGATGTCTTCAACTACAACTGGAATTTGTTTCTTTCGCCTTTCAGATCTGCTAGTATTTTGCTTCAGTTATTTTGAAGCTCTGTTGTTAAGTGCCTATCATTTAGGATAGTTAATCTTCTCATTGAATCAGTCCTGATCCTTTTTTTTTTTTTTAAAGATTTTATTTATTTTTTATTTGGCAGAGAGGGAGAGATCACAAGCAGGCAGAGAGGCAGGCAGAGACAGAGAGGGAAGCAGGCTCCCCGCCAAGCAGAGATCCTGATGTGGGGCTTTATCCCAGGACCCTGAGATCATGACCCAAGCTGAAGGCAGAGGCTTTAACCCTCTG